TGAAGTATATTTACATGACCATTGCCGAGTTTTCTTTTACCCAATCCTATTTGTTTTGTCAATAAATCTATGGGATAGTTTGACAACTAAACAATCTTTATATTTGTACTTCTCAAACATTTCAAAGCCTTTAACTTCCATTAAACGTCAAAGGAAATTTTATATTTCGTCCACAAAAATATACGACTCAATTTAAATTGTCAATTACAATTGTATTTAAAATTAGATCTTCAATTGTCTTTCGAATTTATATCTTATTACCATCTCTTTTGGTACAAATTGTCTTGATGTGCAATCTAAATAAAAAAAAGTTGCCTTCTTTTTTTATTTACATAAAATGTACGCGAATGTAAATGATTCTATTCGATTGATGCTTTGTCGTAAGATTATCAGGTGAATGTATCTTCCGTCTCATTCCGTCTAATTTAAATTCGTATTTGTTTTCCTTATCTCTTTGATACTGGAAAAAAAAGTAATTCGGTGGCGGTTTATTGTTGAGGGAAAATTACGTTTAAGCAAATTATAAAGCAAGTCTTTAATGTTTGATGGTAAGAGGATCGCGGTATTCTAATTTAGATTATTCCAAACGCACCCCACCTGTGGTTTGATATCCTATTGAATTGGATTCTTCTTGGCTTCTATTGTTTGAACATCTGTCGCTAAAAGTATTTATAGCCATTGGGCTATAATATAAAATCAGTAAACTAAAATAAACAGATCCTAGTGTCTTATAGTAGATTATAACAAAATATGTAAAGAATTATATCTGTTAATTATTATTATTAATTACGCATCTGCGGTTCCTCTGGTATTGGTGATGTCCATGGGCGTCGTTGAACACTTCGGTGTTCCCGCTGCTCGTTTGCCCCCTTCTGTTATAAAAAAAAAAAGAATTATATTGTTAGCTTTAATATTTTTAGTACAGTTTCTATATTTTAACTTGATATTTTTGTATAATTACAATATTACTAATATTATAAATGCAAATGTTTTGTGCCGATGGATGAATAGATGTTTATTTGAAAGTATCTTCAGAAGGACTGAATGGATCACGATGATATTTGCCATACATATAGATCATAATCTGGAAGAACACATAGGCTACTTATTAAGGTTTTTTTTAATTCCGCGTGGACGGAGTCGCGGACGATAGCTAGTTTTTTTATAAAAATAACTATCCAATATTGTATAATAGTATTGTCTTCGAACCAATAGCAATTCGTTTACATCCAGCCTAATAAAAAGTCAATTGAAATTATGACAATAAAACGAATGTCTCACTCACTTGAATTACATCTTTGCTATTACACCATACGATTATTTCTATAAAATCGTTATCGTTACGTCCCCGTTACATTATAAAGGACATGGGGAAAATACATTTAAACACATACACACACAATTAACAACAAGACTGATGCTATTTTCACATCAAAATGACACAATTTTTTTTGGCAAGCGTCAACCCTGACTTATATTGCTCTGACCACAGCGTACCCAACGTTGTTGTCAAACACCTAACCTTCGTTGAGCATGGAGTTAACAAAATAATATATTTTTCCACTAAGCAGATCGCCACGCTTGGCCTCGAATGTTTCTTTACATAGCAGTGATAGTCGCGTCAGTGGAAATCGCACACACGATTCCATACAAGAGAAAAAAAAATCGTGTGTTATAAATATCAAATCAGTGCAGCAAACCCTCCACTAAAGTTTACGAGTGCATTGTTTTATTAATATCTATAAAAAGTGCTTCCCAGAAGTATGCATTCTTATAGCTCCCCGCATTCGCAATCTTTATTGAGTCGCTAAGTTTATTACTGTATGCCAGATTAGATTTGCTATTTCGATACGGAATACTAATAAGAATGTTGTTTAAAATTATAGAATAGTTCAGATATGTGTTTTATAGACATATATTTATTTGTTTATCTTATTCTTAATATAGTACATTTCATATATAAAATAAAAAATATAAAAATAGAGCACCACCGG